TCTCGCCTTTCTAATTCTGACTGGCTCTGACATTTTCATCCGTTCCGATGATATGTGGTTGAAGGAAGTAACCTTTGTCAGACTTCTTCCATTGATGGTGATTGGTGCTGGTTGTTATTATTAATGGTGGTGGTGGTGGTGGTTGGTTATCTTAATCACTTCTGTCTTCTCTGTGTTCACCTGGAGTCTTATCTTCGCCACTTCTTCAGTCAGCTTTTTTTGGTTAGTCCATCAGGAGTACTGATAATCGTAGATTAAATGAGATATTTAGTTGTGGTTGAATTTGAAATTCTCTTAAAAGTGTAATGTCGAATTCATTGATCATTTAACTAATGAATTCTGGAATCCCATTACTTAGCACAGAGTTTCCCTGTATTAAGCAGTCAGCCAATAAGCCATAATTATCATGTTCAAGGTTGATGATATAATTCAGTCTGGTAAGTAGAAGTAGATGGAGAAGGATTAAAATAAGTGATCCATGGGATTAGAATCAAATGAATCATTTCCCGAGAAAAATTGAATACAATACATCTAGTTTTCCTAGATAGCACATTGTCAATTAGTCAGGAATTTAGATATAGCAATAACATATAATTTCCATTGACATTTGTCTTCACTCAATACTCAAGATCAGATGGCCGGCCAGAAAAGATCAGCAACAGAGATCTCTGGCAATGAGCGAATCAACCAGGAATCGATTGTGAAACAAATAGGCAGGAAGAAATGGAGGTGGATTGGCCATACGCTGAGGAAACCATCAAGTGACATCACTAGACAAGCCATCGCTCGAGTAGAACCCGAAAGGAAAGCGGAGAGTTGTTCGTCAGTGCAAAGGTGACTTGGAGGAGGTCATGTAAGGAGGAGATGAAAGCATGTGGGCAGACTTGGAGCCAGGTGAAAACTCTAGCAGAGAACCGAACGCAATGGAGACGTGTGGCTGAAGCCCTATGTTCCTCTAGGAATTAAAGAAAATAATAATAATATAATTTCCAAGTTGGAATCTTTCCATATCAATCTATTTTCATTGGTCATTATATTTCTCTTGGTGAACTTCATACCATGGAATTTAGCTTCGAAACTATTGAAGATTTTTAGGTTAGTATGGATCAACTGTTAGGTTCTTCTTGGTCTTTCAACCCCGGTGGGCGCGTGCTGCAGAAGAGTCCCAAGCTAGGACGAAACAACTGTCGAGTACTCCCAGGTATTCCAATGGTTCTCTAACCGATGTCAGCTCATGATGAAATCCTGTAACCAATCAACCAAATCCCTACAAACCAATACTTGAATACGAATTCTTTTAGTTGAGCTTGTTTGTTTGATAATTACCCGATCAGTGGCTGCTGCCTTGGCAAAGTGACAGGGCCTGCATATTGCAAGGAACTACATTGGCTGGAACTAATTAATGTTCCTGCTGGTCCTACGGCAACGGCAAGAGCCTTGTTAACGCACTTTTCTTGCTAAGGAAAAATACACCATAGTTATAGACTTTTAGTTATATTAAGCGTCGGTTAGCTCAGCTGTCGTCGATTTCCCGAAAAGTGAACCTTGACGCAAAGTTATCCAATGAGGGTATTTCCTGATCGCGACGTAAACTAAATCCAGGTGTGAGGAATAGACATTTCTTTCTCTACAGTCATTGACTTCAAATGTTTATTCCACTTTTGGCCGTTTCCTATCAATCTGCGTCTATGTACTAATGATATACCTTGTCACTAGCACACGCCACACTACTATGTCAAAAAGGTAGTTTAGATGGTTAAAAACTTCATGCAATTCTTCCCATTAATAAACTTGAACAAAGCAAGAACAACAACTGTACCAGAATAATATGAGCTCATCTTCTTCTCAACTGGTTACAACCTGAACGATAAAAAATATGAATTACATGATCACAAAGAGTAATTGGTAGGAATTAAAAGTAACATTAGGCCGGAATGATTTAACTGATTAGGAGTTACAAACACTGACTATTTATAGAATAATTAGACAATTAGGCTTGGAAACAAAAATACAGGATTGCATATTTATGTGTGTGTATAGAACAAGGTTTAGCTAGAAAGAGCATAACAAAAAGTAGATTATGTAACTAAAGAAACTGTCTTATCTAATGGCCAATGGAAAAAAAGAAAGAAAAGAAACAAGGTAGGGTGAGTCATTTTTAGATCAGAGAGTAGAGTTTTGTAAACATGAAAAAGGTGACTCATGAAGTTGTATATTTTTTTGTTATCACCAGGGTAGTGCAAGATTCACCACTGTCTCTTTCTGCGTACATAGATTTGGTTTAAGTCGTTTCATGGCGATTGCTTCAGCAAAGCGTAGCAAGCTAGGTTTCTTTTGCTTGTTGATTATTTTGAACGACTTCAGGTTGACCAGTGTCCAATAGATGACCAGCAGTCGCACTGTTTGATGCTTCCGGACCTTTCAGTCTTAGGTTCTTTGGTATGTGTTCATAAATACGGACACTAACCCTTCTGTCTGTTCTTTCAATGTATGTGCTTTGGCACGTACAGCATGTAAATTGTTAGACACAGTTGGAGGTAACATGAGGTGGATATTTGTCCACTTTTGATTGTCTCAAACAACTAATTGTTTGATAAACACATACAAGCTTGGCGGCTGGATATGTTGTTTTCAGGGCAGCGTTCAGTCTGCATCTTATTCTACTAGCAGTATCGATCATCACCTTTGAATGCAAGCTGCAGAAAGGTAGGCTTTTTCTCTGCTGTTCTGCTTTTCACTTTATCAACATGACGTCCCCCATACTTGTCGGTGACCTTTTGTGGGTAACCGCTGTCGTGTAGGCATTTCTCCACAATGGATGGCTCTTCCTCAATCTTTTCTTTTGGACGCAGTTTCCTCATACGATCAAATAATGTTCTCACCAATCCCTTTTTTGTAACTTACAGGGCAGAAGCCCTCTAGGTCTCTGTTCTGTGTTTATATAATTTATGATTTTGCCGTCTTTATCTCGTTGGATACCCAAGTCAATAAAATGGAACTTCTCCTCTTTTTCATAATCCATTCTAAACTTAATATTAGGGTGGGCGCTGTTCAAGACTTTTAATACTTGAGATGCATCATTGAAAGAATTACAAATAACGAAAGTGTCATCGACATACCTGGTATAGAAGCTTGTCTGTCTGACTGCGGATTTTAACCTTGATTATTCTAGACTACACATAAATGTTATCTTTGTAGTGTAATTCGTTTACACTACGCTGGAGGTCTGAATAGACACACATGTCATCGGTCATTTCCTACTGACAATTCAGCAGAAGACGAGGGAATTCGCTAACGGAATTATTTATTTGCAACTCTATACACAGGTATGGGCGAAATATGTCTACCATATAGTAGCATCACAATTTGCATTCATATCTTCGGTATTGTGCTGCTTTGTCTTCCCTTCATGTTTCCCATGGTGTCTCTCAAGCATCGTTAATTAGATCCATCTCTCCAGCATTCGACAATCTTGACGTTGATACACATATTTATATGTGCATCTATACACTACTTATAAATCTTTTCAGTAGTACACGCCAAAGATTTATTACACTCCTAGAATAGGTAAGTAGTCAGTCTGAATAGCAGGTTCAAATCCCTGAGAGGACCGCAGTACCTTTGACAGTGCGGATACACCTTAGTGCCAAGGAGTACAAAAAGTCTAGGTTCGGGGATTCCTGTTGAATGACTCCAATCGTCAAATATCAGGTCTTTCTACTCCTTACTAATTATGTATAATTAGTAGTATATGATAATTTCGTGTGCATACGCATACAATTTGATCAAGAAGTGTTAAAACTCAAATCGTAATATCAACAAAAACCAGTATCAAAGACCACAAGAAAATTCACTCTACCGTAAATATAAAGAATACCTCTAATATAGCGGGTAGAATACTAAGGCCATTTGAAATAAACATAGCCTGCGTGCCAACCAGCCCAGTTACTTCATTCGGTATTGTACAAACCAAAAGATTCGACGGAAAAAGAAGATAAGATGGATACCACTCACAAAATGGATTGCATGGGCTGTGACAAACAACATTATATCGGGCGAAGTAAGCCTTCCTCTTCGAATCGGAATCTAAGACCATAAATTAGTTATGAAAAGGAATGTTCGAATTCCAAGTCAATAAAAATGATCAATAGAGACGTAAATCAAAACTACCAGCCACCACAGTAATTGTCTGGAGATATAATTACAACATTCATGGAGAATTTTATTGACTTCATTTTACACTAAAACCTGCACTGAAGTTGTTGTCCAGAAAGACAACGAAAGCTCAGCTACCACTCTTTCCTAATATATATATATATATATATATATATATATATATATATATATATATATATATATATATATATATATATATATATATATATATATGTTGTGCGTACTTTAATTGGACACTAGTAACTAGTGCTCTGTGTCTGGTGATTTCTTTGGTGCGAACTGAATTCTATCAGTCAGTCAAGTTTGCAATGTGGCCACCATTCTAGGTAGCTCACCATCACGGTGCACGCTGCAAGCCTGACTGATAGAATTCAGTCTGCACCAAACAAAGGACTAAACACATCACACTAGTTACTAGTATCCAATCAAAATGCTCACCACAGTCCTACAGAAGGACGATCGCGAGCCAGAATACCACAGTGGAAACGTCTCTGACTGAAGCCCCTCATGGTGACACGGGTTCGAATCTCAGAAGGGACATGAATTCCTTTAAGGTTGCAGACACGCCTTGCTGACTGACTGGTGAGTGCCAACTAACACGAAACCTAGGTCAAGCAAGGTTTCTTGAGGCCGATCACCTCCAACTATCTAATATCATCAAATCAATACTATGGTGTGTGTGTGTGTGTATGTGTGTCATTTCTATAGATTTCTAAATGAGGTGTACTTCGCTAATGATCATTTCAAAGCCAAACAATAAGGATTTTTGAAGACCTATCCGAAATGTCTAAATCTAAAATAACATTGAGAAAAATAACAACTAATCGATGTTCTTTTATTATTATTGTTAATATTGTCAAAACATCTGTTATTCATTTCACAATATCCATCCTAGATGACATTGAGAGAATTAGAGGTGTGTCACGAACACCCGCATTCTTCTTTATAAGAATAAGAATATCTTCTCATGTAGTCATTGGGATCATTTATTTATTTTCATCCGAAAGACATACAGTATATGTATCTGTGTATGCATGTATGTGTGTGTGTGTGGGGGGGAGTTATCACTATTATTATTACTCACATAAGGATAAGGAAATATAATCTGGGTTGATTCGATGGTCTGTTGGCTGGGTTCTTTTTTCTTTTTAGCTATATAGACGAAAACCATAACAAATAAGATGAAAGTACAAAAATTAGAAATAAAAACAAACGATTGTAAGTGTGTGTAAGAGAGAAACAGAGAAAAGGGCGGGCGCATCTCACTGATGATAGGAAAAGTCAGAGAAAACAGGATGAAAAGAAATGTCTTCGTGTGTGTGTGTGTGTACAAACTGAATCCTAGATGTGAATAGAAACTTCAGAGTTCCAAAGAAGGGGAATAGAGGAGGGTCGAGGAGGAAAAGTCATTGTCTCCAGTCTGTCTACGTCTCTCTACCTCTCTCTCTCTCCCTTTTGATTCACGGGTATAAAAATCGGTAGGATAAATAAGACTTTCTGTTGTAAAATGAATGCTACAACTTAAAATAAAAGCATACGTGTTGTCAATTTCTTTTTAATTCAATTACATAATCTTTTAACGAGAAGTGATAAGATGAAGATGTTATGAGTGTGAATTACGCAATGGATTACTATTATTGATAACAAATTTATGCATTTTAATAATATCTGATCTAACTGGTGATCCTGTACCATCTGACCAACCAGTAAGATATTTTAATATATCTGATAAGGATATAATTCCTTCAAGTTTATTCATATTATCTACAACAACAAGTCGATGAACCTGTGAGTTAACGAGAGAAAACAAAAAGAAAACAAATATAGATTAATTACGAAATATGCATTTTCTAATTCGGTGGATGGTGACTAGCAGTGATATCCACAGAATGTGCATTTCGTCCTACTCCAGACTCGTCAACTGGATGTACCTTCAATCTCCATCCAGTGAGTGGAGGATGATGTTCTCAGGAGGACTCGAATCCAACACCCATCGTTTCAAACACTACAGCATTATCCCCTACACCATTTAGGCAACACAATTACTACTCACCACCATTCACCATATAACATAATGTTAATCTTTAAACGTCGTTTAAGCAACCATACAAGAGGTTGGCATTTCAACATAGACTGAACATTTCGGTAGTAATCTAATCAACCAATGCTCTTGTACATAATCTACAACATCCAGTTACATTTACATGTTTCTTATGGGCAATCTGGAACAAAAACAAGAATGAAGTCTGCAATCTATCAGACAGACTTCTATTCAAGGTTTTTGTCACTTGTGATTGTGTTTTAATGATGCATCTCAAAATATTATTATCGATGGTAAGATAGTAAGGTATATCTACAGAATTGGGAACCTAGTAGAAAATTTATCCAAACTTCAAAAGCTTCTAGTCTGTAAGTTACATAAAGGGATGCTTGAGAATATTGTTTGATCGTGTAAGAAAGCGATGCTCAACGATAAAAGTTGAGGAAAAGCTATCCATTGTGAAAAAAAAATGTTTGGGTGATAATGCTTATCCACAGAAGTTCATCAACAAATGTGGAAAATGTAGTGTTGACATTAGAGAATAACTTCATATTTCTATAGCTTGCCTTCTGAGGTAATGATACTGCTAGTAGAATAAGAGGCAGAGTGAACGCTGCTCAAGCTTGTATACATATTTATCAAACGACTAGTTTTTTGAGGCTATCAAAAGTGGAAGAACTCCGTTTTTGTGTTACCTTCAATTGTGTATACCAATTTAAACGTACGTGCCAAGGCATATAGAATGAAAGAACACAGAGAAGGGTTACTGTATGCATTTCGGAACATATACCAAAGAAACTGAGACTAAAGAGCTCTGAGGTATTAAACAGTGCTATTGCGTCCTCTCTTTTGGACACTGATCATTTTGTGGACAAACAACCTAAAGGTGTTCATCAAAATAATCAACAGGCAAAAGAAACCACCTAGCTTTCTATGTTTTGCTGAGGCTATCACCGTCAAACGATTAAAACCAAACCTATGTAATCAAAAAGAGACAATGGTGAATCTCGCATTGCTTTGGCGATTAGCATTATTATTATTGATTTTTTTTAGCTCCAAGAGGAACATAAGGATTCGGCCGCATGCCTTCATTGCCTTCAGTTCTCTGCTAAAGTTTTCACCTGGCTCCAAGTCTGCCCACATGTTTTCATCTCCTCGTCACATGACCTCATCCATGTCACCCTTGCACTGACGACCAACTTGCCGCTTCCCTTTCGGGTTCCACTCGAGCGATGGCTTGTCTAGTGATGTCACTTGGTGATTTCCTAAGAATATGGCCAATCCATCTCCATTTCTTCCTGCCAATTTGTTGCACAATCGGTCCCTGGTTGGTTCGCTCATTGCCAGAGATCTCTGTTGCTGATCTTTTCTGGTTGGGCATCTGATCTTGAGAAGAATTGAGCGAAGACAACTGTCGATGAAGGTCTGTAGTTTGTTTGAGGTGCTCTTTATGACGCGCTGGCCAAGTCTGTGATCCGTATAGTAAGTAGCACTGACTTCACATTGGAGTTGAAAATCCGGATCTTATTTTTGATGGTGAGTGCTGTTGACTTCCATACAACATGCAGCATTGTTGTCGTGCAACCGTTGGATGAGATGTATAACTGTCGGCACCCCGTAGTAGTGAAGTAGTTGCCAAATCACCTCTTGATCGACGCTGTCAAAGGCCTTTTCAAAAAGTTGAGATGAAGTTGAGATAGAGAGCTGACTACCATTCCAAGCTTTTTTCAATGATGATACCTAGTGTTGTGATTTAATCGATGCATGACTTGTTTCTCCTGAATTCAGCCAGTTCCGGTCGATGATAAAGTATACAAATTTTACTACTTCATCTTCCGTTCTGTTTAGAAAACTTTATTTTTCATCTAAACATGAGTCAACCTACCCTCCTTCTCTCCTTACTTTGTCTATTTTATAAAAAGCATATTCTCAGTAGTTACGTAATCGACTGAATTGACATACTCTTTCTGGTTAAACTAGTTAAACCTACCCATAAAGCATCTGCTGAACTCTGTTTTCTTTTTTGTTTCCATGCGTAGTCAACTAATTATCGCTCTTAGTTATTTAACAACTTACATTATTCTTCACTTATGTTGCTCTTAGTTCCTATCAACTACTCCTTATCATTGTTCAGGTTGTAGCCAGTTGAGGAGAATCTTTGAAATAATAAAAGATGAGCTCACAGTATATTATCCAGGTACACATTTGTCGTTCTTGCTTTGTTCAAATTAGATTATGCCTTGTATTATGAATTAGCTTAAAGACCTCCAAAAGGGATCAGTGTTTGGTGACTGTGTAAATAATGGATTGATTGGAGTTTTGATAAAACATGCATATGCTGTGTGGAGCTTCATAATGCATAATTGTTCTTCTAATCATCGATTGAATAAACGAGTAGATTGGTGAACAGAATTAGAAATATAAACAGATAAGCAGCCAGCCAGGATCGACAAAACAGGTCGTCCAGTGGAACCTGAATGAGTAGCAATGGGTTAGACGTACGCCTGAGGGTGATACCAGTTAGATCTTGTACATAGGAGACAACAGCTTGTCTACAGTCGTGAAGCCAGTTGAAAAAGTGACGACGAAGAACAGAATGCAGCAGAGAAGTGCTGTTAAAGCCCCTTATGTTACGCTTTTTCTTTCGGTAAATTCATTGTATCGAGTGGATTTATGTCTGTTAACGAATAAATGATTTGATATTTGTCTCTCTATGTGTTATTACTGCTATTTTATTCCTTTACATTCGGAGTAAAACACAAGGCCCTAGGCTGTAAGCTTTAAAGTTGCAGTAGCACTATTGTTATTCCTTTTTTACGGGGCTTACTTACTGGTCCAGCGAGGTTCAGGTGTGCGTCGATGGGAGATCGAACCCCCCCCCCACCGAATCACTTGGGTGGTTAGTGAGCATTCTGTCGCTGAACTACCACCTCGGAAATGGATGCTAGTACTCATTTTTAAACAACTATGGGTGGCACTGGGTTCAAGCCTCGGTGCGAACATCAGCATCACTCATTGACTGGGGAATGCAGGTATATCCACTAACTGACGAGTCCAAAATAGGATGACGAAGTGCGCATCCTACATTCCACACTGCTAATCACCATTATTCACCAGTTAAACAACAATAAATAAGAGATTATAAAAACGAACAGATGGATATTATTTGTAGCTGTTTATGTTCGTTTCAGATTGTTTTTATGTCTATAATCTTCAAAACCTGTGGTAGGCTCAAATAATTTAGTCTGTTACTCACCTTAAAATAGTATTTTATTGTCATTATATACTGTTCGCTATGACAGTCATTCATTCATCTGTCTACTGGTTTATTTCCCATATCTCCTCTCTCGATATATGACATAATTTTTTTCTCTAGTCTATGTTCTTTCTTTCTATCTTTCTACCCACCCAACAGATAATGATGTCAGCAGGAAGAAAAAGTAGGTTAAAACTAAAAATCAATTTTTAAATGGGACATGGACGGAGTGTGTTTGTGTGTGTGTGTGTGTGTGTGCACGCATGTTTTTGGTCTAATTTGTCTAATAGCTTTAATGATTTAAGGCTAACAAGTGAATCACATGATGGATGAGTCATCGTTTCACTTTATATTACAATTAAAAATCACATGATAGATCATTATGATTTTTCATTCGTTTACCAGCCAAGCTACAACTAAAAATTTGAAATGTTAGTTTGCATGGGTATGATTGCTTTCGAGTTTGATCTCGGATTATTATTAGTAGTATTAGTTAGAGAATCATTGGAAATCAGCAGGGAGCACTTGGCAATGGTTTCTTTCTAGTTGAGGACTCTTCAGTAATACTCAAAGAACCCCCCACTAGATATTGAGACAGGATTCAATGGCCAATGAATGCTAACTTCTGCTAGTTGACAACATATAGCACCAGCACTGGCTCATGCTATTGGTGAGTACTTGTCCACATCCCCACCGCCGACCTACTGGATCCCACTGGTCACGAATTTTTCACTAGAACTTCAGGCAAATTTATCTTCTAGTCAGTCACTAGCGAGCACCAGATGAATTTTCAAGTGTTTTGTAGTTTGCAGACATTTGACTGGTTTCAAGTATGGCCACAGATTTCTAACTGTAATGCTAAGACTAAATTATTGTTATTATTATTCCTTTAGTTCCTAGAGGAACATAAGGCTTCAGCTGAGCATCGCCATTGCCTTCGCTTTCCTGCCAACTTTTTCACCCCACTCCAAGTCTGTCCACGTGCATTCATCTCCTCGTCACATGACCTCCTCCATGTCACCCTTGCACTGACGACCAACTCGCTGCTTCCCTTTCAGGTTCCACTCAAGCAATGGCTTGTCTAGTGATGTCACTTGATGTTTTCCTAAGAATATGGCCAATCCATCTCCATTTCTTCCTGCCTATTTGTTTCACAATCGATTCCTGGTTGGTTCGCTCATTGCCAGAGATCTCTGTTGCTGATCTTTTCTGGTTGGGCATCTGATCTTGAGAAGAATTGAGCGAAGACAACTGTCGATGAAGGTCTGTAGTTTGTTTGAGGTGCTCTTTATGACGCGCTGGCCAAGTCTGTGATCCGTATAGTAAGTAGCACTGACTTCACATTGGAGTTGAAAATTCGGATCTTATTTTTGATGGTGAGTGCTGTTGACCTCCACACAGACTTGAGAGTAATGAAAGCTTGTCTTGCTTTTCTGATTCTGGCTTTGATATCCTCGTCAGTTCCGTCCTCCTGTAGTTGAAACGATGC